GGAGAGAGGAGCAAGGGGGCTAGGAGGGCAGGAGAAGGCCCAAGAGCCAGCCGCCCCAGGGGAAGCGGAACCACAGTGCTGGGGGAGGCAGCCCCAACCACAGCGGACCCAGAGGGGCAGGCGGAGGAAGCCCAGAAGGACGACCCCAGGGAGGGGGGGTGTGAGGCTGGGCTTGAGCCTATGCAGCCGCCGGAGGACCTGTTGGCATCAGCGATACCACCACCCTTGCCACAGGGACCCCTGCGCCAGCCGCACTGGGTGAACACCCTGATGGGGCCAACAGGCGACCAACGCCAACACAGCATCTAACCTCGGTAGGAAGAAGCCCAGGACGGGGGAATTGCCATGGATAACCCCCCCAAGAGGGGTGGTGAGTGTATCTGCTTGGCTCTCCATTCGGGTACGACCCTGTAGTCGTACCCTTTAGGGTTCTGGGTTGGAACTCGGTTGTGAGGGAGGGCCTGAGTTCGCCTGTTGGCCTCTGCTAGTGACTGGACTGGGGGGTGGAAATAGGCATAAGCCAACACCCACTACAAAGACTGACGGCTACAGCCCAGCCAGCCTCGCGTGGGGGAGAGGCGACAGACACGGAGGAGCGGGCTAAGGAGAGGAGGCCCTGGATCGCAACTTTTTATTGAGCCAGCTGCCATAAGCTTAGATGGCTCCCCGGGTGGCGAGTTGGGTCCAGGCGGGCCCCGCCTCAGGGGCCAGCGAACCCCCACCCCATGCAAAGGGAGCCAAGATTAAACTCGGGATGGGGCCCTACTATTTAGTAGGGGGGAGACCCCGTCCCACATAGACCACGGGGAGGGGAGGGGAGGTGACACACATCTTAAGAGCAAGCCCATTATATCGAAATATGATGGGCTCGCTAGTCCGATGTCCTTGTAGACCTCATTGCACCAGGGTTCAGGGATGTTTCGGAACAGCACCTTATTTCGAAATTTGGTGCTGTGTAGACAGCGCCAAAATATGAAAGAAGCTATTTTGAAATTACCTCAAAATAAGCTATGCAATTTGCATTGCACAAATTGTGTAGCTTATTTCTAGGTAAGGGCGCTGTGTAGATGCACTTTGAGTTATTTCAGTTCCAAATATAAAAAGGCCAGTATCACTTTAGAAGCTTCAGCTTAGTAAAAATAAACCCTGTTATCTGTAATTTAATTGTGCAGCAGGTAGTGGATGCCAAAATCCATGTCAGATCTTCCCAAAAGGACCAGATAAGGAAATATATTAATTTTAGATTCAATTCCACTGATGCACTTGTTTATTTCGAGCCACAGTGTAAATTGGTTTTTTGAACTAAACTAAAACTGTAGCAGTTAACTTCTAAATCTATCATCACACAGGCCTTGTAGAAGCAGCTGAACACAAAATCGATGCATTTTGTTGTTGCTGTTAAATTTTTCTTATGGACTAATTTCTGCCTAATAACCTGTTGAGAAATACGTCTCTGGAGACCTCTCGCTGTGCAGAAGTAACCTGCACCAATTGGGGAGCAGCAGCAGGTCTACTAAAGGGTTCTCTCGTGAGCTCTGTGATTTCCATTTCCCTGGAGTGGCTGTCCTCACCTGCGATAAAGACCCCTGCAGCTCCAAGATCGCCTTCCTCTGTAGCATGGGGGTACAGATCACAGCTAGAGGATTCTCTGCATCTTGGGGTCTTCAAAGTATTTGAAGGCTTCAATATCTGAGATATAGGTGAGAGGATCATTCTAGGAGGGGTGGGTGAGATTTTGTGGCCTGCACTGTGCAGGGGGTCAGACTAGATGATCATAATGGTCCCTTCTGACCTTAAAGTCTATGAGTCTATGAGGTGCTTGTGAAAGCAATACACAGAGCCAAAGCCTGGGAGGAGAACAAAGGGATTCCGGGTGAGGCTAGATCACTGACCAGTCCCCGCCACTGATGCTCTGTGCAGTGGTGAACTTTGTATAATGGGGGTACGGCTGGCCAAACTCGCCAGCAAGCATAAGCAAACATTGCTCTTGACCCAGCATTCGTTTCTCTCCGAGGCCATGTCTACACTGGCAGATGTAAACTCACGGAGTGCAGCAGCAAAAACACTATTGGGTGTCCCCACTGTCAGCCGCCAGCGCATTAGCGTGACCACTCTCGCGGCACTTGCAGCTCCTTTTGGAGTGGTGCATCCTGGGTAGCCATCTCACGGAACACCCCTTCCTCTTCGGCCATAGCGGTTTGTGAGGAGATGTGGAACATCCTGGATCCTGTCCCAATACCATGGTGCATCGCTTTGCATCCCAGCTTCAGTCTGCATTTGGTGCCATCTTTCAGTGGCTTTTGTGCTGCACACTCTGCCTCCTCAATGTGCGAGAATGGGTCCCCAGCTGGTGACAAAAATGCTGATTGGGCTTACTAACATGTCACTGTCCCTGGCATGCATGGCAGTTGCATTATTCCTGGAGCTGCAAAGTGACGATGAGGAGTCCCATCAGCAGATGTCTTGTGGCATTCACAGAGGTGCTGACCACAGGGGAACGCTGCTTTTGGGCTCGGGAAACAAGCACTGGGCGGTGGGATCCCATCGTCGTGCAAACCCAGGATGATGAGCAATGACTGCAGAACCTTTGGGAGAGGAAAGCCACTTCCATGGGACTGTGTGCTGAACTTGCCCCCACCCTGCAGTGCAAGGAGACGCGAATGAGAGCTGCCCTGCTGGTGGAGAAGTGCATGGCGATCGCGCTGCAGAAGCTGGCTACACCAGCTTTCCCACGGTCGCCAGTCATCACAGAGTGGGAAAGTCGACTGTTGGACTAGCGCTGATGAAAGTGTGTGGGACCATCGATCGCTTCCTGCTCTGCAAGACCACGACTCCGGGGAACATGCATGAGATTGTGGATGGCTTTGCATGGATGGGCTTCCCAGAGTGCAGCAGGGTGATCAATGGCACGCACATTCCAATTTTGGCACCAGAACACCTAGCATCCGAGTACATGCATTGCAAGGGTAATTCTGCACGGCTCTGCAGGTGCTTTTGGATCACCTGACATTAACGCTGGCTGCTTCTGGAAAGGTGCATGACAAACGCATCCTTTGGACCACTGGCCTGTTTAAGAAGCTGCATGTGGGCATCCAGTGGCTTAGGTGGGGAAAGGCTTTGTCTTCCCAAACTGCCAGCCTGGCCCCGCCCCCACTGCACCCGCTGAACACCTACTGTAGCCATTCTGGGGGTGGAATGTGGCTGCCCCATGCTCCGGAGGCTGGAACTGCATGGCCTCCTCCCTCCCTGGTGCTCTGGGGCTGGGGAAGCTGGAGCCGTGTGCCCCCTCCCTCCACAGTGCTCTGGGGCTGGGGAAGCTGGAGCCGTGTGCCCCCTCCCTCCACAGTGCTCTGGGGCTGGGGAAGCTGGAGCCGTGTGCCCCCTCCCTCCACAGTGCTCTGGGGCTGGGGAAGCTGGAGCCGTGTGCCCCCTCCCTCCACAGTGCTCTGGGGCTGGGGAAGCTGGAGCCGTGTGCCCCCTCCCTCCACAGTGCTCTGGGGCTGGGGAAGCTGGAGCCATGTGCCCCCTCCCTCCACAGTGCTCTGGGGCTGGGGAAGCTGGAGCCGTGTGCCCCCTCCCTCCACCACAATGCTCTGGGGCTGGGGAAGCTGGAGCCGTGGCCCCCCCCACAATGCTCTGGGGCTGGGGAAGCTGGAGCCGTGGCCCCCCCCACAATGCTCTGGGGCTGGGGAAGCTGGAGCCGTGGCCCCCCCCACAATGCTCTGGGGCTGGGGAAGCTGGAGCCGTGGCCCCCCCCACAATGCTCTGGGGCTGGGGAAGCTGGAGCCGTGGCCCCCCCCACAATGCTCTGGGGCTGGGGAAGCTGGAGCCGTGGCCCCCCCCACAATGCTCTGGGGCTGGGGAAGCTGGAGCCGTGGCCCCCCCCACAATGCTCTGGGGCTGGGGAAGCTGGAGCCGTGGCCCCCCCCACAATGCTCTGGGGCTGGGGAAGCTGGAGCCGTGGCCCCCCCCACAATGCTCTGGGGCTGGGGAAGCTGGAGCCGTGGCCCCCCCCACAATGCTCTGGGGCTGGGGAAGCTGGAGCCGTGGCCCCCCCCACAATGCTCTGGGGCTGGGGAAGCTGGAGCCGTGGCCCCCCCCACAATGCTCTGGGGCTGGGGAAGCTGGAGCCGTGGCCCCCCCCACAATGCTCTGGGGCTGGGGAAGCTGGAGCCGTGGCCCCCCCCACAATGCTCTGGGGCTGGGGAAGCTGGAGCCGTGGCCCCCCCCACAATGCTCTGGGGCTGGGGAAGCTGGAGCCGTGGCCCCCCCCACAATGCTCTGGGGCTGGGGAAGCTGGAGCCGTGTGCCCTCCTCCCTCCCTGGTGCTCCAGGGTGTGGAGGCTGGAGCTGTGTGGCATCCTCTCTCCCCAGCGCTCCAAGGCTGGGGAGGTTGGGGCATGTACGCTCACCTCCTTCCCATCTTCCCCTGCTCGTGGAGGGGCAGGCATTTCTCCCCTCCTTGTGGTAGGGGGGCAGGTTTTCAGTACACACCTCGTTTCACGTTCCCTTAGTTTGTGTGTGTAGAGGTGTGACGGGTATTAAGGGTGCGACCACCCCCTTCCGCTCGAAAGGGGGGTTCAGCAAACCCACCGCCTAACTAACGTCTAGGTCTTAGGGTCCTCTGTCCTTCGGGACAGGTCCCTTGGGTGCGATCTCCCTACCCCGAGGTGGGAGAAGGGGCTCAGCGAACCCGGAAATCCCCCAGAGAAGGGTTGTGTTGGGGCCTCTGCCCTCAAGTCCAGCCCATGCTCAGGCGGGGTCCAACAAACGTGCGCAAGGTCTGGAGTGGGGGTCTGGCTGACAGGCGCGTCGTGAACCCCTCGGATAGGGGTAGGTGGGGGAAGGGGGACCCGGGCCCGCCCTCTCCTCTGGGTCCCAGCCTGGGGCCCTAAGTGCAGGGTGCGGTGCTCCCCTTGCACGGCAGACGGGGGTTACCCCAGGCTGCTTCCTTTCCCCCCTCCCGGGTGATCTGGCCCAGGGACCAGGTGGGTCCTTACCCCCACTTGGTCGGTCTCTGGTCCTCCTGGGTGGTCCGGTGGCCCACGGGTCCTGCGCTGCTTCCTCCAGCGCGGAGGCAGGTCCTCCCTCACTCTGCCAGGACGGGGCCGCTTCTTCCTAGTGTCCGCTCTCCGCCTCCGGTCCTGCCGCTTTTCAAGCGGCCTGGGGGCAGACGCCGAGTGACGGCGCCCCGCCCCCTCCCTGTCGGCCTGTGCCGTGACGTCAAGTGGTGCGGCAGAGGCCCCACCCCGAGCCTCCCGGCATCCGCCGACGTGTCCTCTCCCTGGGTCTCACACCGGGGAGCACCAGCGTAACTTGGCCCCGCCTCCCGTGCGGCAGGGCTGCGCCACTTCCCTGCTCCTCGCCGGCCCCGCTGAGCTGAGGATCGGGTCTGCTGTGGCCGGCCGCGGCGCCGGCTCGTCTTCTCCTTCTCTGGGGGGGCGGGTCCTCCCCCTCGGCAGTGCGGATCCTCACAGGTCCGTCACAGTAGGTGTGGGGGCCCATGAAGCTTCAAGTGGAGACTTTCTTCCCAGACCAGAAAATGACCACGGGGGAAGTGGAAACGCCCATTATGATCCTTGGAGACCCTGCCTATCTTTAATGCCGTGGCTCATGAAGCCATAGAGCCTCGACAGCCCAAGGAGCAGTTCAGTATCAGGCTAAGAGGTGCAGAATGACTGTGGAGTGTGTTTTTGGTTGTTTGAAGGCCTGCTGTCGATGTTTGTTTGGGAAGCTAGACTTAGCCAATGATAACATCCCTGTGGTTGTCACCGCATGCTGTACCCTTCATAATAATTGTGAAGGAAAGGGTGAAAACTTTACTCAGGGCTGGACCACTGAGGCTCAGCACCTTGAGACCAAGTTTGAACAGGGCTATAAAAGCACAGCATGGAGCTGTAAGGATCAGGGATGGCATGAGGCAGCAATTTGATGCTGAAAGTCAGTAAAACTTGTTGCTATGCATGGGAGTGCAGTGGCTGCGTTGCTAGGGGGTTACTCTCATTGGTCCAAGCACTGTACTTAGCCTTACAGTAATTGTAGCTTTGCTGAGGTATGCTGGCTTGCTCGCTTTCATGTAACGGAATAAAGATTTCTTTGAAGCACATGAATTTCATTTCTTAAACACAGTAAATGTAGGACCCTAGTGAAGCATGAAACAAACATCTGCATGGTGGGAGCCAGGGAAGGACAGGGTGGGAGAGACAGGGGGTGAGGCATGCCCCAATAATTTCACAGGTTTGTATATGTCCAAGGTTCATCTGCAGCGCCCCCATCTGATGTGCTGTGGAAGAGGCTACAGTTCATCAGAGCTAAGCTGCGTGTGAATGGGCGTTGAATGCACCAGGAACATGCCAGAGTCTGCATAGGTCGAGGCTGGGCAGGCAGGTGTGGAGTGTGGTGGATGGAACCGGAGGGGCGGAGTGGTACCCAAATTGCATTGGGGGGGTGTATTGAAAAAAGTGTTGGGACGCTGGCTGCGGAGGGAGAGGGGAATAGTTGTGCATCTGCAGTACTAGCAGTGACTCCAGTGTGTTCGCTTCCTTAGGAGTCACTGTGGGCTGCTCCCTGTGCTCCATCCTGTCCCTGTCCTCCCCTCCTTCTGTTCCTTGTGTTCAGAGTCTGCATGGCTCAGGGCATGTTGCAGACACGCAGATGACCAGGGAGACCAGAAAAGACCTTCTGGAAAGGGTGTTGGAGGCCATTCAGGGTGCGGTACTACACCGTGGTGTCCACGCTGGTATCCCAGCACGCTATACAGAGTGCAGCAAGTGCTACGCTTCTTGCAGAGGAGGCGCTACCTGTGGAGCTAATGTGCACTAAGTGCCTTGCCAGTGTGGACATTGACAGCGCCGGGGGCTGATTTACTGCTCAGTCACTTGACAGTGTAGACTTAGCCTGAGTGATGGAATGTTCCTGGTTAGGCTTTTTGGTTGGGTGCAACTGTAACACCAGCCTTGCAGGTCACCCTCAAATCAGCAACCCACCAAGAAGCTAGTGGAGAACATCCATATCTTGGACAGGCGCATGACATGCATCTTCACTCAGATCACAATCTGAATTCTCCCATAGTTCACGGGCGTGAGACTTAGAATCATAGATTAAGGTTTAGATCTCAGGAGATCATCTTGTTTAACCCCTGCTCAAAGCAGGAACAACTTTAAATAAAACATTCTACCCAGGATTTTGTCAAGCCGGGACTTAAAATCACTTAAGGATGGAGATCCACCCTCGGTAACCACCCTCCTAGTGAAATAATTTCCCTAATATCCAACCTAGACCACCCCGACTTCAATGTGCTCTGGAATCTGCCAACATTGAGAACAGCCTCTCTCCATTTTCTTTGGAACCCTTCTTCAGTAGTTGAAGGCTATCAAATCCCCCCTCACACTTCTCTTCTGCAGACTAAATAAACCCAAATCCTTTAGACTCTCCTTGTAGATCATGTGCTCCAGCCTCATAATCATTTTCATTCCCCTTCTCCGGGCTCTCTCCAAGTAATCTCCATACTTTCTGTAATGCAGGGCCCAAAACTGGACGCAATACTCCAGATGTGGCCTCAGCAGTACCGAATAAAGGGGAATAATCACTTCCCTAGACCTGCTGGCAATGCTCCTCCCAATGTATCCCAATATGCCATTAGCCTTCTTGGCTACAGGGCACCTAATCCCCAGGTCCTTTTCTGCAGAACTGCTGCTTTGCCAGTCTTTAGCCTGTAACCATGCTTGGGATTCTTCTAGCTCTTGTTGAACCTCATCAGATTTCTTTTGGCCCAACCCTCCAATTTATCTAGATCACTCTGTACCCTCGTCTTAGTGTCATCTACAAACTTGCTGCGGGTGCAATCCATCCCCTCTGCCAGGTCATTAATAAAGATGTTGAACAAAAACAGCCTCAGGACTGCCCCCTGGGGCACTCCACTGCAAACCAGACCATTGAGACGTTTTGATCACTCCCCATTGAGCCTGATGATCTAGCCAGCTTTCTATCCACCGTACAGTCCTTTTATCCAAACCATACCTTAACTTGCTGGCAAGAATATTGTGGGAGACTGTATTAGAAGCTTTGCTAAAGTCGAGATAAATCACATCCACCAACTTCCCCATGTCCACAGAGCCATTTACCTCATCCTAGAAGGCAATCAGGTTGGTCAGGCATGGATTGGCCTTGGTGAATCCATATTAGCTATTCCTGGTCACTTTCTGCTCTTCCCATCTGCACTTTCCGCAGTGCCCATCTTTTAAAAGAGAAGAAGGAGAATCTGAAGAACTACAGACCAGTCAGCCTCACCTCAGTCCCCGGAAAAATAATGGAGAAGATCCTCAAGGAATCCATTTTGAAGCATTTGGATCCCAGGGGAGTCATAAGGGTACTGAGGGAGTTGGCAAATTGCATTGCGGAGCCTTTGGCCATTATCTTTGAAAAGTCGTGGAGATCGGGAGAGATCCCGGATGACTGGAAAAAGGCAAAAGTAGTGCCCATCTTTAAAAAAGGGAAGAAGGACAATCCAGAGACCTATAGAAAAGCCAGCCTTACCTCAGTCCCTGGAAAAATCATGGAGGGGATCCTCAAGGAATCCATGTTGAGGCACTTGGAAGAGGGGAAAGTGATCAGGAGTAGTCAACATGGATTCACCAAGGGCAAATTGTTCCTGACCAGTCTGATTAGTTTCTGTGATGAGGTAACTGGTTCTGTGGACATGGGAAAGTAAATGGATGTGATATACCTTGACTTTAGCAAGGCTTTTGATACGGTCTCTCACAATATTCTTGCCAGCAAGTTAAGGGAGCATGGATTGGATAAACGGACTGTAAGATAGATAGGAAGCTGGCTACACTGTCGGGCCCAACGGGTAGTGATCAGTGGCTGGATGTCAGGTTAGTGGTCGGTTTCTAGCGGAGTACCCCAAAGATCTGTTCTAGGATTTGTTTTGTTCAACATTTATATTACTGACCTGGATGAGGGGATGGATTGCACCCTCAGCAAGTTGGCGGATGACACTAAGCTAGGTAGATATGCTGGAGGACAGGGATAGGGTCCAGAGTGACCTAGACGGATTAGAGAAATGGGCCAAAAGAAATCTGATGAAGTTCAACAAAGGACAAGTGTAGAGTCCTGCACTTGGGACAGAAGAATCACAAGTATTGTTACAGGCTGGTGACCGAATGGCTAAGTAGCAGTTCTGCAGAAAAGGACCTGGGGGTTACAGTGGATGAGAAGCTGGATATGAGTCAACAGTGTGCCCTTGTAGTCAAGAAGGCTAATGGCATATTAGGGTTCATTAGGAGGAGCATTGTCAGCAGATCTAGAGAAGTGATTATTCCCCTTTATTTGGCTCTGGTGAGGCCACATCTGGAGTATTGTGTCCAATTCTGGGCCACCCACTAAAGAAACGATGTGGACACATTGGAGAGGGTCCAGCGGAGGGAGACCAAAATGATTAGGGGGCTGGAGTGCATGACCTATGAGGAGAGACTGAGGGTATGTCTACACTACAGCGCATTCGAATTAAGCTAATTTGAAATACTCATCCTCCTTGATTGGATCCACCTGGTCATCTCCAGCCTGATCCTGGCCTGCATATTTATTCCTGCCTCTGGAAATTTCCACTACATGCATCTGACGAAGTGGGTCTTTGCCCACGAAAGCTTATGCTCCTACACTTCAGTTAGTCTATAAGGTGCCACAGGACTCCTCGAGCCAGATTAAGGCAGGCTACTGTAGTGTGGTACTTATACAAACTGAGCACACATTTTGAAATATTTATTTTTCCAGACTAAGGGTATGTCTATACTACAGTACTATTTCAAATTAACTTAATTAGAAATAGTTAATCCGATTAAGCTAATTTGAAATAAAGCATCTATACACAAAAACTATTCCGAAATAGCGTTTTGCTATTTCAAATTAGCACGTCCACACTGAGTGGACCCTGAACCGAAGTTAAGGCTGGCCGGAACCAGTGCCGGCAGGGCATCAGGTTAGGACTTAGCTGCCTGAGGCTAACTGAGCTCCGTGTTTAAAGGAACCCTATCCCCACCCCGGAAAGACAGTCCTCAGGGTTCCCCGCTTGCTTGTGTACCTTGATGAGGGACAGCAAAGCAGTCCTGACTTGGAGTGCCCTGAGTGCCCGCACTCGGGACACCATAGCACTCGGCCACATGGAGCCAGAGCTGCCCCTGGGCATGCCAGTGCGTCTCATGGGGTCGTTGCCATCAGCCCGGCTGCACTTGCTGCAGGCTGCCATCCAGGGGATCCATCAGGGGGTGTCAGGATCCAGGAGGCCCTGAGGGAGAGCATTCACCCCGAGGAGCCTTCCCAGTCCTCCTGGTCCTCCCCACCAGGGGCTTGTGCCCCATTCCTCCCTCACGTCCTTCCACTTACTCCTCCCTAGCCCCCCCTTCCTGATGTCAAATAAAAGACACGTATGTTCAAAAATAACTGCTGTTATTTCGAATTAACTCTGTAGTGTAGACATATCCTAAGAGAAACAAATTTGTTTACATTTATGGCAGAGAATGCTGCCTGCTTCTTTACAGTGTCACCTGAAAGTGAAAACAGGTATTTTGGCATGTAAATATCTTGCAAAACTAGCTACAATAGTGCCATGCGGATTCCTGTTTTAAATTCTAGATGACACTGGAAACAAGAAGTGAGCAGCATTTTCTCTTGCAAATGTAAACAAATTTGTTTGTCTGAGCGATTGGCTGATCAAGAAGTATGCTTGAGTGGACTTGTAAGCTCTAAAGTTTTATAATGTTTTATTTTTGAATGCAGGGTTTTGTTTTGTTTTTTTGTACATTTATTAGTTCAACTTCCATGATAGAGATTGTACTACGGTACTTGTAAAAAGGCAATTTATTTTATTTTTAGTGTGCAAATATTTGTAATCAAATATTAATCAAATATTTGTAATAATATAAATATAAATAACTATACAGTGAGATTTGTATTCTGTGTTGTAATTGAAATCAGTCTATGTGAAGATGTAGAAAACATACAAAAAGTTAAGTACATGATATTATATTACTGTTTAACAGTGCTGTTAATCAGGATTAATTTTTAATGGCACAATTAATTGCAATTAATTTGTTTAATCACTTGACAGTCCTAGTAGAGAGATATATGTATATTATTTATCATTTTTATTTGTATTTATTATTTGTAATAATACTGTCTTCAACACAGCTGGTGAGGAGAATGCTTTAATAGGAATTAGATGGGCAGCAATGCATGGTAATATATTAGGAGCTCCACATGTGAAGAAGCCTGCTGTAAAGTCTTCCCATGACATTATCTCTAAAAGAGAGGCTGTTTTTGAATGGGTATGACCAGATACTCCACTTGTTTCTACAGTTTGCTTTATTCTGTTTTGATTTAGCGGGGTTTTAAAAATGGCGGCGCCCCGCTTATGCAAATGAAGCCCGGGAAATTCAAATCCCGGGCTTCATTTGCAAGTGCGGTATGCCTACATTACCCCGCTAGTTCGAACTAGTGGGGTAGTGTAGATATACCCCACAGCACTTAATTCAAAATAGCTATTTCGAATTTGGTGTTACTCCTTGTAGAATGAGGTTTACCAAATTCGAAATAAGGGCTCCACTATTTCGAATTTATTTCAAAATAGCAGTTTGCCTGTGTAGACACTATTAACGTTAATTCAAAATAACTGCTGCTATTTCGACTTAACTTTGTAGTGTAGACATACCCTGAGGGATTTGGGTTTATTTAGTCTGCAGAAGAGAAGAGTGAGGGGGGATTTGATAGCAGCCTTCAACTACCTGAAGGAGATTCCAAAGAGGATGGAGAAAGGCTGTTCTCAGTAGTGACGGATGGCAGAACAAGGAGCAATGGTCTCAAATTATAGGAGAGGTCTAGTTTGGACATTAGGAAAAACTATTTCACTAGGAGGATGGTGAAGCACTGGAATGGGTTACCTAGAGAGGTGGTGGAATCTCCATCCCTAGAGGTTTTTAAGTCTTGGCTTGACAAAGCCCTGGCGGGGTTGATTTAGTTGGGATTTGTCCTGATTTGTCCTGCCTAGAGCAGGGGGCTGGACTTGA